AGAGAAAGAGGGAGGGAAAGTTGGCCACAGTAATGTGTGGAGGGTACAGCTAGAACTTTATAAATAACAAATAATGTATGCATGTACATTCACTGGGAATGACAAAAAAAGAAAGTTCAATTTAAAATGGTAGAAGCACAAAGTTGTGGCAAGGAAGCACATTTAAGGCAACAACATGTGCGTTGGACATTCACACGGGACTATAAAAAAAGAAAGATCAACTTTAAAATAGCTCAAAGTTGTGGCACAATGGTAGAAGCACAAAGTTGTGGTAAGGAAGCACAAAGCACAAAGTGAAGAGGTAGAAGCATCCTTTTCTTCTTCACCCTGTCCTCATTCAAGCCTCCCTCCCTCTCTTGCTCTGTCTCCCTCTTCATGAAAGCAAACATACCAGGAAAAAAACTCACACAAAATCAACTAACCCAAAGTTTCTTAAAGAACACATGAGCAAAGCTGTCAGCAATCTCCCAAAATGGACAAGAGCATGAGGTATGGTGGCTGCGCACTTGAAGTCCTAAAGCCCTGGTTTAGATGGTTGAGAACTATTTGTATTTGGGCTTTCCTGGTCCACGCCAACCCAATGATCTCATTAGACTACATAAACAACCCACACCATTTTGTGAACCCTTGCTAGCTGTTGTAAATTACTGTGGATGTTTTGTTTAGCTGTTACGTTATTATATAATTTTGTCTGACTACATGTAGTTTAATTTATTGATGTTAGATTTAATTTGCTGGTGTTAGGCTTTAATTTGATGTTGGTTTTAATGGTATTTTCATATGTGGGGTTTTTCTGGGATTTTAAGTTCATGTTTGTTTGTTTTATGTAGACATTGAATGTTTGCCATTGCATATTGGAATCCGCCCTGAGTCCCCTTGGGTAGATAAGGCAGAATACAAATGAAGTTGTATCATCATCATCATCATCATCATCATATTTGGTGGTAACTCTCAACTCAAAATGCTGCTCGTGTGTCAAAGCAAATCTGGCACTTAACTCAAAACGTTCTTAAGTTGGGATGGTCTTAAGTTGAGTTTCCACTATATCTGGATATATTTGTCTTAAGGAAAATTAATACTCTCTCTATAGTTGTTAATCTTTCCACCAAAAACACACTGCTACGTCAACTCCCTTGGCAAATAAACAGCTCATCGCCACCACTGCGGTATCTTTCCAAGCCCTGTGAATGTTCATAACTTCCCCTTGCAATCACTTCAGCCCATCAAATATGTATGAGTGGGTTGGACAGAAAGGCATCAAAAGTTCCTGTTTACTAATATTATCCCTTTTAAGCATCTGGTGGGCAGCTGAAACAGTGTGTCCCAAATGGCATTTAACATTTGAAAATGATCTACCTTTATTGTTTTAAAACTGAACTTCAGAATTGTTTTTAGTCTTTAAAAAATTCGAGTTATTTTTATTTATTTGTTACCTTGGGAGCTGCTGTGGTCTGGGAGGCAATACAGAAAGACTATACATAAATAAATGTTCTGGCATGAGAGAGTCAGTGTGGTGTAGTGGTATGAATGTCAGCCTAAGGCTTTGGGAGCCAAGGGTTTGACTCTGTCCAGCCATGGAAACCCACTAGGTGAACATGGGCAAGTCACAATCTCTCAGCTTCAAAGGAAGACAGTGACGTACCTCTTCTGAGTAAATCTTGTTAAGAAAATCCTAATTTTTAGACCCATTGTGGGTTTTTTTTTTGTGCCAAGACAACTTGAGTAATTGCAAGTCGTTTCTGGTGTGAGAGAATTAGCCATCTGCAAGGACATTGCTCAGAGGACACCCAGATGTTTTGATGTTTTACCATCCTTGTGGGAAGCTTCTCTCGTGTCCCTGCATGGGGAGCCGGAGCTGACAGAGGGAGCACATCCGTGCTCTACCTGGATTTGAACCTGTGGCCTGTCTGTCTTGCTGGCCTGCTGGCTCAGGGGTTTAACCCACTGTGCTACCAGAGGCTCCTACCCATTGTGGTATAGTGATTTGAGTGATGCACTAAGCCTCTGGGAAATGACAGAAAAACAACTGAGTGAACTTAGGCAAGTCACACTCTCTCAGCCATTGAGAAAAGGAACAGTAAAACACACACATCAAGAAAAAAAATATATTGCCAAGGAATCCCTGTAAAGTTCATGCCATCTGACTCTACTTTAACTGCCATGACTCAATGCTGTGGGGTCAAAGGAATTGTAGTTTTACAAGGTCTGGAAACTTCTCTGTTAAAGAGAGCCGCTGTCCTACCAAATGACAAATTCCATAATAATAATAATAATAATAATAATAATAATAATAATAATCTTATCCATCTCTCCTCATGGCTTGAGGCGGATTAAAGAAAAATGAAAACACATAAGCATTGTAAAAAACTACCACACATATACATATTAAAACGTATTTTACGCCATATCAATAATAATAATAATAAACTTTATTTATACTCCACCACCATCTCCCCAAAGGGGACACGTTTTATAAGATACAGCCGTTAAGACAAAGTGGTGCTAAAATGCATTAATTCGAGAGTGATAGGTGTAGATGCACTCTCTGAAGGCCCACAACAACAACAATGGAATATTGTGTCCAATTCTGGGCACTGCAATTTAAGGGAGATGTTGACATGCTGAAATGTGTCCGGAGAAGGGTGACTAAAACAATCAAGGGTCTGGAGTACAAGCCCTATGAGGAGCAGCTGAAAGAGCTGGGCATGTGCAGAAGAGAAGGGTGAGAGGAGACACGATAAGGGCCATGTATCAAGATGTGAGGGGATGTCATAGAGAGGAGGAGCAGGCTTGTTTTCGGCTGCCCTGGAGACTAGGACGCAATAGAACAATGGCTTCAAACTATTGGAAAGGAAGGAGATTCCACCTGAACATGAGGAAGAACTTGCTAAGTGTGAGGAGAACTGTTCAGCAATGGAACTTTCTCTCTCTGCCCCGGAGTGTGGTGGAGGTTCCTTCTTTAGAGGCTTTTAAAGAGAGGCTGGATAGCCATCTGTTGGGGGTGCTTTGAATGCGATTTTCCTGCTTCTTGGCAGAATGGGGTTGGACTGAATGGCCCACGAGGTCTCCTCCAACTCAATGATTCTATGATATTGCTGGGGTCAGCAAGTTTTTCTGCAGCTAGCACTTTAACTCTCTGTACTACTGCAGCCGCAATGTGCCACAGAGTTCTATCCTGGACCTTTCAGGGCTATTGAACATCTTTTCCAACTAATGGATGTCAGAATTGAAGGCATGGTGATCTGCAGATGGGACCAAATTGGGAAGGATAAAGCAGAAAAACAGGATCAGAAAAAGATCTTCACAGATTAGAGAGCTGGGCCAAAAGCTAACACAGTGAACTTCAGCAGGACTAAATGAATGGTATTACCTTTAGGCAAAAAATGAAATGCCCAGATGTAGGATGAGGGACACCTAGCTTGAAAGCAGTCCACGCAAAAGGGATCTAGGAGTTTTAGGAGACTGCAACTGAACATGACTCAACAGTGTGATGCAGCAGCTCAAAAAGCCAAGAACACAAAAAAAAATTTGACTACAAGTCGCTCCTGGTATGAGAGAATTGGCTGTCTGCAATGACATTGCCCAGGGGACGCCTGGATGATTTGATGTTTTTATCATCCTTGTGGGAGGCTTCTCTCATGTCCCCTCATGAGGAGCTGGAGCTGATAGAGGGAGCTCATCTGCCTCTCCCCGGATTCGAACCTGCGACCTGTCGGTCTTCAGTCCTGCCGGCACAGGAGTTTAACCCACTGCACCACCGGGGGCTCCTAAGAACATAATTGGAGTATAGTTTAAGGGAAGTCATACTGTCCTACTCTCTTCTGCTTTGGCCAGACCTCACCTGGGAAAGTCTGTGCCTAATTCTGAGCAAAGCAATTCAAGAAGGAAATGGCCAAACCTTTGAAGATGGCATTAGCAAAATGTTAGGAGGGAATGCTACTGGAACACGGCCATACAGCCTGAGAAATTCACAGCAACCCAGAGATGGGAAAAGCTGGAACGTGTCCAAAGAAGGTTGATCAAAATGTTCAGGTGGTGTTAAACTGCATTACGCGTACTGTTCAACAGTGACAAATGCAAGATACTCCACTTAGGCATAAAAAAAAAATACAAAGATACAGAATGGGGGACGCGTGGCTCGAGAGCAGTACGTGTGAAAAAGATCTTGGAGTCCTTGTGAACAACAACTTTAACATGAGCCAACAATGTCATGTAGTGGCAAAAAAAAGCCAATGGGATTTTGGCCTTCATCAAGAGGAGTCTAGTGTCTAGATCTAGGGAAGTAATGCTACTCCTCTATTCGGCCTTGGTTAGACAACACCTGGAATATTGTGTCCATTCTGGGCACCACAATTCAAGAGAGATATTGACAAGCTGGAATGTGTCCAGAGGAGGGCGACTAAAATGATCAAGGGTCTGGAGAACAAGCCCTATGAGGAGCGGCTTAAGGAGCTGGGCATGTTTAGCCTGAAGAAGAGAAGGCTGAGAGGAGATATGATAGCCATGTATAAATATGTGAGAGGAAGCCACAGGGAGGAGGAAGCAAGCTTGTTTTCTGCTTCCTTGGAGACTAGGACACGGAACAATGGCTTCAAACTACAAGAGAGGAGATTCCATCTGAACACGAGGAAGAACTTCCTGACTGTGAGAGCCATTCAGCAGTGAAACTCTCTGCCCCAGAGTGTGGTGGAGGCTCCTCCTTTGGAGGCTTTTAGGCAGAGGCTGGATGGCCATCTGTCAGGGGTGTTGTGAATGCGATTCTGCTGCTTCTTGGCACAATGGGGTTGGACTGGATGGCCCAGGAGGTCTCTTCCAACTCTTGGATTCTATGATAAGAGACTCCATGGCCAACTGTCGGGAAGGCTTGGATGGTGCCTTCCTGCCTGCCTGAAGGGGGTCAGGCTGGATGGCCTTTGGGGTACCCATTTTCCTCCCAGGTCCAGCTCCCCAAAGCCGAAATTTCCCTCCTCCTCTTCCTTCCCTCCGACCTGCTTACCTACCTGTCCCTCCGACTGCTTGCCTGCCTCCCTGCCTGCCTTCGGGCTCGGCTGCTCTCTGACTCACTCCTCGCTCAGCGCCAACAAGGCTGGGCTGGGCTACACCGGAAGTGCTCCCCGCCGGAGCGGAGCGGAAGGGAACGGGCCAAAACAGGTCCGTCCGCCCGTGCGGTCCTCCCGGGAACAGGGACCCGCGCGCTGAGGTTCCGGAGACAGAGTAGCAAACTTGATACATGATAGAAGATAGAATAGATAGATAGATAGATAGATAGTAAGATAGATAGATAGATAGATAGATAGATAGATAGATAGATAGAGATAGATAGATAGATAGATAGATAGATAGATAGATAGATATAGATAGAGAGAGAGAGAGAGATATAGAGAGAGATGGAGAGATAGAGAGATAGAGAGATAGATAGAGAGATAGAGAGAGAGATAGATAGATAGATAGAGAGATAGAGAGATGATAGAGAGAAAGATAGATAGAGAGAGAGAGAGAGAGATAGAGAGAGAGAGATGGAAAGATAGAGAGATAGAAAGAGAGATAGATAGATAGAGAGATGGAGAGAGAGAGAGATAGACAGAGAGATAGATAGATAGAGAGATAGATATAATATATATATATATATATAGAGAGAGAGATTAAAGTTAGACATAGATTAGATAGATGGATTAGATATAGGTTACATAGATTACAATATATTTATTAGACAAATAGCTAACTTAGAAAGATTAGATAGATCGATTAGATATAAATTAGATAGATTAGAATAGATTAGATAGATTTGGATAGATTACATAGATAGATTACAATAGATGGATAGATAAATTAGATAGATTAGATTAAGGTTAGACATAGATTAGATTAGATAGATTAGACATAGATATATTAGATGGATTAGATATAGGTTACATAGATTACAATACATTTATTAGACAAATAGAGAATTTAATTGATTACATAGATAAGATAGATCAATTAGATATAAATTAGATAGATTAGAATAGATAGATTTGGATAGATTACATAGATTAGATAAATTAGATAGATTAGATAGATAGATATGATAATTAGATATAGGGTAGATAGATTGGAATACATAGTTTAGATACATAGATTAGATAGATTAGATATAGATAGATTACAATAGATGGATAGATAGATAGATAGATAGATAGATAGATAAGATTAGATTAAAGTTAAACATAGATTAGATAGATTAGATATAGCTAGATTAGATAGATGGATTAGATATAGGTTGCATAGATTAGAATATATTTATTAGACAAATAGCTGAATTAGATAGATAGGATAGATCGATTAGATATAAATTAGATAGACTAGGTAGATAGATTTGGATAGATTACATAGATAGATTAGATAGATATTATAGATAATGATATAGGTTAGATAGATTGGAATACATAGTTTAGATAGATAGATTAGATATAGATAGATTACAATACAAAGATAGATAAGATTGGATTAAGTTTAGACATAGATTAGATTAGATAGATTAGATATAGCTAGATTAGATAGATAAATTAGATATAGGTTACACAGATGATATTTCATCTTGTTGACAGGAAGCTTCCTACCGGAGTGGAAATCATCTACCGGACAAATGGCAAGCTATTTAACCTCAGCAGACTGAAAGCCAAAACCAAGGATACAACAACATCTGGTATAGAACTCCAGTATGCTGATGACAACGTCGTCTGTGTGCATTCAGAAGACCTACAAGCCACTCTAAACACCTTTGCAGAAGCATACGAGAAGCTTGGCCTGTCATTGAACATCGAGAAAACCAAAGTGCTCTTCCAGCAGTCACCAGCCAATCCCTCTCCAATGACAGAAATACAGCTTAACGGTATTATTATTATTATTTAGAGTTTTTATAACCTGGTCTTCTCAACCTCCGGAGAGGGACTCAGGCCGGCTAACAACAGAGGATTCAGTACAATAAGATAAAGCGAATATACATCATCAATATAAAATACATTAAAATATAATTCATACCATTTACAAAAAAGTCAGTTCGTCAGAGTAAAATCACAAATTACAAATTCATCGCCATCTGCCAGTAGATCAACCGTTGTTGACTCAGTCATCAATCTGCAAATGCAGTGTCCCAGAGCCATGATTTTACCAGCTTTCTAAAAGTTAGGAGGGAAGAGGCAGATCTAATCTCCATCAGTATTTCCACAAATGTCAACATTGACACTGAAATACAACACCGCCAGAGCTCTGCAAGTGCAGCATTTTTCCGAATGAAGCAGAGAGTGTTTGAGGACTGGGACATCCGTGCGGAGACCAAGGTGCTTGTCTATAAAGCTATTGTCCTCCCAACCCTGCTATATGCCTGCGAAACGTAGACTGTCTACATGCAACTCCTGGAACGATTCCATCAGCGCTGTCTCCGAAAATCCTGCAAATCTCTTGGGAAGACAAGCAGACAAATGTCAGCGTGCTGGAAGAAGCAAAGACCACCAGCATTGAAGTGATGGTCCTCCACCATCAACTCCGCTGGACTGGCCATGTTGTCCGGATGCCCGACCACCATCTCCCAAAGCAGTTGCTCTACTCCGAACTCAAGAATGGAAAACGGAATATTGGTGGGCAGGAAAAGAGATTTAAAGAAACCGATGCCCTCACGGCGGGAGACAATGCAGATCAAGAATAGGGCTCCACAGTCACCTACGGACCCACCCTGGAGGATTATCCTACTCGGACAACGAGGGATCGCCTAAGTAAGTAAGATAGATAGATAGATGCCATGGCTGCTACGGATAAGTGGCTCGAGGCACAACCGAAATCCTTCTCTTTGCAAGGCTTATAGAACTTAGAATACCGATGTAAGGAGTTTATTGATATCAGTGGAGAGTATGTGGAATAAATGTAAAGTTTCATCTTCCTATCTCGTTTCTTTCTGGGTAAAGCCAGACTTATCAGCAGCCCCTCGTATATAGATAGATTAGATATAGATAAATAGATAGATAGATTAAATATAGGTTAGACAGATTAGATTAGAATAGATTGATTAGACAAATAGATAAACTAGATAGATTAGATAGATAGGATAGATGGATTAGATATAGGTTAGTTAGTTAGATAGATTAGAATAGATAAATAGATACCGTAGATAGATTAGAATCGAAAGATTGGAATAGATAGATATCATAGAAACAAAGAGTTGGAAGAGACCTCCTGGGCCATCCAGTCCAACCCCATTCTGCAAAGAAGCAGGAAAATTGCATTCAAATCACCCCTGACAGATGGCCATCCAGCCTCTGTTTATAAGCTTCCAAAGAAGGAGCCTCCACCACACTCCGGGGCAGAGAGTTCCACTGCTGAACGGCTCTCACAATCAGGAAGTTCTTTTTCATGTTCAGATGGAATCTCCTTTCTTGTAGATTGAAGCCATTGTTAGGATAGCTTCCATAGATTAGAATAGAATAGATATAGATATAGAATAGACACATAGATCAAATAGATAGAATAGATAGAATGGATATATTAGAATAGATTAGATAGAAAAAACAAATTAGAATAGATTAGGCAGAAAAAACGAAATGCAAAGATACAGAATGGGGACAATGCCTGGCTCGAGAGCAGTATGTGTGAAAAAGATCTTGGAGTCCTCGTGGACAACAAGTTAAACATGAGCCAACAATGTGATGTGGCAGCAAAAAAAGCCAATGGGATTTTGGCCTGCATCAATAGGAGCCTAGTGTCTAGATCTAGGGAAGTCATCCTACCCCTCTATTCTGCTTTGGTTAGACCACACCTGGAATATTGTGTCCAATTCTGGGCACCACAATTCAAGAGAGATATTGACAAGCTGGAATGTGTCCAGAGGAGGGAACTAAAATGATCAAGGGTCTGGAGAACAAGCCCTATGAGGAGCGCTTAAAGAGCTGGGGATGTTTAGCCTGAAGAAGAAGGCTGAGAGGAGATATGATAGCCATGTATAAATATGTGAGAGGAAGCCACAGATAGGAGGGAGCAAGCTTGTTTTCTGCTTCCTTGGAGACTAGGACGCGGAACAATGGCTTCAAACTACAAGAGAGGAGATTCCATCTGAACATGAGGAAGAACTTCCTGACTGTGAGAGCCGTTCAGCAGTGGAACTCTCTGCCCCGGAGGCTCCTTCTTTGGAAGCTTTTAAGCAGAGGCTGGATGGCCATCTGTCAGGGGTGATTTGAATGCAATATTCCTGCTTCTTGGCAGGGGATTGGACTGGATGGCCCATGAGGTCTCTTCCAACTCTTTGATTCTATGATTTGATTCTTGAATATATAATAATAATAATAATAATAATAATAATAATAATACTTTATTTGTACCCCACTACCATCTCCCCAAGGGACTCGGTGCGGCTTACAGGAGGCCGAGCCCACAATACATCAATACAAGCAATAACAACAACAATAAAACAATTAAAATAAAACTCATAAACAGAAAAGCAATAAAAAATGACAGTAATACAACACACATTTAAAATCTATGGCTGGGCCAAATGTAATTAAAGTTAAAAAATAATGCTAGGCATTAACAAGATAGGAAAGATGGGGCGTTGGTGTGAGCGTACAAACAATCCTAAAGCAGTGTAAAGTGCATTTAGAGGGCACAACGCTGAGAGTTCATTATTCTGGGAAGGCACACTGGAACAACCACGTTTTCAGGCTCCTCCTAAAGGCTGACAGAGTTGGGGCATGCCTGATGTCCTTGGGAAGTGAATTCCAGAGTCGAGGGGGCCACATAGAATAGATATAGATAGATTGGAAGAGACCCTCAAGGGCAATCGAGTCCCACCAGCTTCTGCCATGCAGAGGACACAATCTAAGCCCTTCTGACAGATGGCCATTCAACTGCTGTTTAAAAACCTTCAGGGAAGGAGGCTCCACCACACAAAGTAGGAAACACTTGGCACAAAAAAACATCAGTTTAAGGATCATATAACTTACACATGTGCATAACTATAATCACAATATGCTTGGTAGTGCTCTCTATTACTTATGCAACCCAATTGCTGGGTGTGACTTTGATTTTGGTAATAAGCTTTAGCTTACTATAGTTCAAATGAGTAGACCTTGCTACGTGAATC